AAAACCTTCTGGGGTTAGCTTCAGTGAGACAGCTCGTTCGGGGGGTTCGGGGGAAAATATAGGGTGAAGATGGCAGCCAAAGTTTTACCTGATAGGTGTTTATAGTATGCTTTATTTGCATGTGGTAGAGGATCCTATCATCTGGGGACGGGGCAATGCCTAATTATCATATAGAAAAAACCTGGGGGTAGTTTTTACTCCAGGTAACTATGCCAAAGGTCATGTTAAATGAGGCCAAGCTTCTGTGCTTGGCACTTTCCAGGTAAGTCAGGCAGGAAGCTCCTGCTGAGAACTGAGAAAGGGAGTCCTTCCATATAGTGCCGAGCCCCTTAGAGCTATCCAGACATGGAGGACTACAACCTTAGCAGCAGGGTCCCCCAACAGGCTGCCTCTTGGGGAGCAGAGAAACAGCAGCAAGCAGGAGAAGTCAGACATCAGCAATGGTAGTAATTTGTCGGCGAAGAAATTGTATGAAACAGAGAGCAAGCATCAAAATAACATAATCAGGGGGCTATTGATATTGTAACTTTTTTCTCTGATGAGGTAACCCCAAAATCTTTTTGGGATAAGAGCTCACAAATACTTTTAATGTTTTTGGCCTTTGGGACAGAGTACTTTGCTAAACGGCCCAAGGGCATTTTGACTTTTAGCCAAGAAAGAAACTGGCTACTTTTCTTTGGGGTCTTTTTACCCTAGCTGCCTAGCCAATTTCTACCTCCTATTTTTATCATATCACCCTCTGAAGAGGCTTACCCAAATTGCCAATAGGGAATTGGGACGCAGACTGCTCTGGCTTCTTCCATGCTGAACAGGGACGCAGGTTAAGGCAATTGGGGTACCCCCTTCAGTGGGTCTATCTAAAAGACTCCCAACTTACATATTTCTTAACTAAAGAGATATGTAAAGGGTTCCCCAACATGAGTGTATTGCCTGCATGTGTGTGTAAGTGCACCTGCGTCATGCAGTGCCTTTTGAGGTCAGAAGAAGGCACCTGAATCTCCTGGAACTGGAATTACAGATGGTTGCTAGCTGCCATGAGGGTGTTGGGAATCAATCCCAGATCCTCTGCAAGAGCAGTAAATACTCTTAGCCACTGAGTGAACTTTTTCTGACTCCACAGGTTACACTAGGATTTGAACAGGATTCATAGGGCCTGTGAGGGTGGCAGTAAATGGTGGTAATGGAAGTATTGTTCAGGAAACACAAAAGCCAGAGGAGTCAGGAGGGAGACATGGGATTTAGTCTTGAGAACAGTGGGTACCATGGATGGAGCCCAGGTTCAATTCCCAATGCTGCTTCTGAGCTTGGTATTTCTCTACCACCATTTCTGAGACATAAAATGGGAGTAATGCTGACTCCGTGTGGCTTAGTCAAAGGGGGCATCTGACCAGCTTTGGCACCTGGACTCCTGGAAAATGACAGCAGTGGCTAGGAACACTGGAGAAATTAACATTAGAGAATTAGAGACACAAGTGGATCTTAGCTGGTAAAAATGGGAGGGTGGCACTGTGGAGAGAGCTCTGTGGCTACTGCACAAGGACCCGAGTTCAGATCCCCAGCACCCACCCACATAAAAAGCTGGGCATGGTGATATATAGGTCTATAACCACAGAGCTAGGGTGGGGCCCTCACTGGCCAATCAGTTTTGTTGAATTGGTGAGCTCCAGATTCAGTGAGAGACACTGTCTCAAAAAATAAGGTGGAGAGAGAGAGAGAGAGAGAGAGAGAGAGAGAGAGAGAGGCTGGAGATTGTGGCAGCTGCCTGCCTTAAATCACAGGAGACAGAGGCAGCGAATCTCTATAAGATAGAGGCTAGCCTGGTCTACATAATGAGTTCCAGTCCAGCTGGGGCTACAGGAAGACCCTGTCTCAAAAGGACTGAAAATCAAAAGCTGTCACAGCTGTGTGCATCATTTCTTCATGCAACCTTATTCAAAGCAAAAGAGGGCAGCCTCCTGACCATTATCACAGGTAAGGTCATGGGTTATATGCTTTGCAAAAACTCTCAAGAGCACAGGGAAATTGTGTGCAGGACCCAACCTTCCCAAAATATGTTACCATTTGGATAATGTCAGGCTGTATAAGCCAAAGAGGAAAGAAGGACAATGTCAGGGGATTTTCAAATTCAGGTGTGAATTCCCAGACCTCACTGGATTCTAAAGACAGGGGTGTGCCAGGAGTGTGAGCCCACATTTCCCGACTATGCTCTCCTGACCTCAACTCTCAGCCAAATCTCTCAAGCATTCTGCATGGCAGCACAGATTTCTAGATCAGATTACTTCAGCTTTCCCCCATGCCATCTGAGGCTTTTTTATTGATTCAAGCTTGGGACTGGCCCTACTTTCCCTAAGCTAAGCTTCTCAGCCTCCAGTCAGTGATCTGCAGGGTTGGTCTTGCCAAGTCTCCAAAAGCAGCTCTGGGCCTCAGAGTCGACACGGCAGCAGACAAGGAGGCAAGGCTACCACCTGCTGCTTACACCTACCCCAGCCCTGGTGGAGCTGAAATCCTGGAACTAGAACACTTTGTTTTATTGTTCTTCTGTCTTTCCAAAGACCCCTAAACACTATTTTATGAACATATGACTAATAGTTGTCACATGTGTTATTCCAAAATGAAAACAGGTGTGAGGCAGTGATACTTCAGCTTCCTCAAATGGGAACTTTGAATTAAGTTCAAAATAAAGGCAAAATTACATGATAAACAAAGAAGTCCATTAAAATAATTTGTTCTTTGAGAGATGGCTCAGCAGTTAAGAGCACTGGCTGCTTTTCCAGAGGACCTGGTTTGGTTCCCAGCACCCACATGGCAGATAACAACTGTCTATAACTCCAGTTCCAGGCTTCTGGCCTCTGTGGGCACTAGACATGCATGTGATGCATTTACATACATGCAGGCAAAACATATACACATAAAATCAAAATGAATAAAATCTTCCCTTTTTTTGAAAAAAAAAAAAAAAAAAAATTTATTCTAGCATATGCCTTTAGTCCCAGCACTTGGGAGGCAGAAGCTAGCAGATCTCTGTGAGTTTGAGGCCAGCCTGGTTTACATAGTGAGTTCCAGGCTAGCTAGGGTTACATAACAGGACCCTGTCTCACAAAAACAAAACAAAAGAAAGAAATTATTCTATTAATTTATGAACCAGTTTTACCTATACATTCACTCTGTCTTCAGATATTAAGCAAACTGTGACTTTTTTTTTCTTGTGAGACAAAGTCTTTTACTATGAAGCCCTGGCTGGTCTAGAATTCCCTGTGTAGACCAGGCTGGCCTCAAAAAAATTATTATTTCTTTGTGATCTAAAATTGCCCTGAACTTCCTTGTGAGAGCCTGTGTTCCACCCCAGCCCAGTAAACTACAAAAAAAAGGAAAATAATTGTCCCTAACTCTTTGTGATTCCCCCAACTGAGCATCTGAGATAACTTTGATATGCCAATTTAGTGGCATTGAAGGGAAACCCAGGATGTAAGCTCTGCAGCAGTCTTGGAAATGGGTTCAGAGCTGAGAAGGAAGAGGAAGGGCTCCACAGGAGGGACAGTTCCCAAAAGGCTAAAAGAAGTCCCCACCTGCTATGCCTAAAAAGACAAATACACAATGTTTGAATTGTCAAAGGATCTAAATGGAAAATTCCTGAGAGAAGATAAGCAGGCAGTCTGTTGATAACCTGGCCATGAGAGGCCATGTTGACTGCATGGAGCCACCACCCCCAGCTGGCCAGTGATGAAGCATGTGGTCAGCCAGATCAGATCAGATCAGTTACCTCCCAACCTGGCCTCTCATCAGTGGCTCCCTCTGCAGCAGGAGAGGGACCCTGAAGTCCTCCTCAGACATGGTGCTTTTAGAACATGACCTCCCTTCACCCAGAAGGGATCTGGGGAGAAGTGAAGGTCTCAGCTGTTGGGAGCTGTTAGTCTATTATGTACATTGAGCTGTGGCAGGCTTGTTTACTGAGTGTGTGTTATGCACACCAGTACCTAATCTGCCTATTCAGGAGGAATGTGTTTATATGGAGAGCCTCACAATACCTGACCTGGAGGCGAGGCAATAGTGGTAAACAAAAAGATCAAAGAAGCCTTTGAAGTATTTGACCACTCCTTGACCCTCAGATACAGGTGGGAAAAACAGCTGTTGATACAAATTGAGTCTTCTGTATAAAAAGGCAGAGCTGAAATAAATTGGGGCTGCAGTCACTACTGTCAGCCCTCCCAAGTATCTTTTCTGTCTCTTGTTTTTTCTTTCAATCCTCACTCCCCCTTTCAGGTACTGTCCATCTTGGCCGGCTGGCACCAGCACTCAGCCTTTTGAAATAGGGGTGACCTCAAGTGCAGGCTCTCAGTAGAGGGCAGTGACTAAAGTCCTAGGCCACAGGGGCATTTGCAGGTGAGAGCACTAGAAACTGAATCTGAGCACCCAGCTCCTGCCGCTCTCCCTCTCGTGCCCTCAGGTCTGTAGAACTCTACCTTCAGGTGCTGAAGGAAACCACCAAATGGAGGAAAAGAAATGAGGTGGCCCCTCACAGCACCCCTGGGGGTCACTGCCAGGACCCAGGTAGGCTGACTGCTATCTCTCTCTTGCCACGTTAGTCTCCTGCCCAGACAGTCTCTTATCAGGGAAGCTGGATTAATTTACAGCAAATGCTTAATCTCTAAGCCTGTGGTCACCATGTGCCATATCTCGAGACTTCTGTTCTATTTGAAGTGATGCATTTGCTCCCGTAGGTAATTTAAAGACCTCAGGTGGAAAATGTCATTTTTTGTCAATGTGGTTTGCAAAACACATCAGCCAAGGAGGCTGCAGGAATAGTGAAAAGGTGCTATAGGATCCATTCATCTTTTCTCAGCACACATTATGTTACTACTCCTAGTTTATGGCCTTTACTGCTCCCAGGAGAAATGTAGAACCTCGCTTCAGGCAAACTGCCCAGTGTTCTTACTTTCAACAGTGGGAGCTTGTGACAGCACTGACTGATATTCAACACTCATCTGCCCTTCTTGGCTGCTATAGAACTCCAATGTTGTTTCTGGGATTTACTCATCCCAAAGGATGAGTCACAATTGGCCTAAACCAAGTGATATCCCTTTCCACTTTGCTAGAGATTGGTTTAAATAATTCTGGCCAGTAGGACATAAGGAGAATTGTGCTATAAGATTTGGAACCTCTTCCTTTCCTTTCTGGACACTGCTATGTGAAAACATGGCCTCGGGAGCTGTAGTAGCCACCTGGCAACCATGAGGTACCAAATATTAGGAAAGATGAAGGACTCATCCTTTTGTCTCTGAACAGTACAACAAACCTCAAAACACCTCCTTCTGGACTTCTTGTGCAGTCATTCTATGAGCATCTTGTGAGATAGCCCCTGTTAGTCGTGTTTCCCAGGACTGTCAAAGCACCACAGAGTCAGAGCTGAACAATGCTCAGTCAGGGACACCTTGGGTCTTATCACATCCATTTAGACAGAACTTTATGGAAGAGAGCAAAGGCTGTGGGACTACAGCAGCCACATCTGAATCAAGGTCCTTTTGACTCTACCTTGTCTTCCCCTTCCAGTCCAGGGACAGGATTTTTGCAAAGATCCTTAAACCTGAGCAAATCTGTGGAGAGAGGGGTTCAGCATCCTGTCTTCTGACTCAGACCCTGCCAAGCAAGGAAGACTCAGCTCAGATAGCAGGAAGAAAATCTCAAGTCTGTCAACATACCAAGTTTTATCACATACCACCATTCTGTTTTGGTCCCATACAGCATCACTTACAAACTGCTATCTATCGTACGGGCCAAGCAGACTTTGTCCCAAGCCACCATATTGTCTTCAAGTCCTCTGAGTTTCCTTAAAACTCACTGACTAAAGTGAGCCTTTTACTCATTCCCTTGTACACTCCCCATTTCCTAGCCCCATAGACAAAGAGGTTGTAAGATTCCCAACAGGCTGATGGCTCCTGGTGAATACAGGGAATATGTTTCTGTGCCTTTTCTCAAATAATATATTTGGAGATTTATTCTGGGGAACCTTCAGAGGCAACTGGGGCCTGTTACTTGGTCCCCATGGCAAGGCCAGTTCCTCCTTGTTGATAGATCAGTCCTGAAATGAGAGGTAGAATCCAAGCTCCTCCTCTCAACTTCCCAGCTTCCTGTTAACCAGAGTCCAGGACAGAACTCCCCAAGGTGGAAACAGTCAAAGGCATTCCCCCAGACCTGGCCAGCACCAATTCACCAAGGCAGTTGGAAGAGTGACTTCACGGCTCCAGCTCTGCTCCACCTGGCTTCTGGGGTGATAGCTTGGACTCAAGAAAAGATGTAAAGATTAAAAAGTATCGATCATAAGACTGTGAACTGTGGCACTCACCTGTGATCCTTGCTACTCAGGAGGCTGAAGCAGGAGGATGGCTTGAGTCAGGTGTTTAGGGCCAGCATGGGCAACAAGAGCAAAACTGGACTTCACAGAAACCAGGGTGGAAATCTGGGGCTGCTAGCCAAGGCTGAGTTGGACATTTCTATTATTAATGTTTTGTTTTTGTTGAAAAATGATATGTGCAGCTGGGCGTGGTGGCGCATGCCTTTAGTCCCAGCACTCAGGAGGCAGAGGCAGAGGCAGGCAGATCTCTGTGAGTTTGAGGCCAGCCTGGTCTCCATGGCGAATCCAGGCCAGCTGCAGCTACAGGAAAACCCTGTCTCAAAAAGACAAAAAAAAGAAAAGAAAAAAATGATATGTGCTCATAGTAGATATTTAAACCCACAGCAGTGTTTGGCAGTAAAAGTACCCTCCAGGCACAATCCTATCACACCCATAGTCACTGGTCAAATTGTTGTTCCAGAGACTTTCTAAATTTATATGACCATAACAGTATTACAGAATCAGGATGCCAATGCTGGTGCATCCTGCTAGGACATGCACCCTGGAACTGCAGAAACAGAGCTGTGTTTATACATAGAGACTTTTAAAATTGATTATTTTGTGGTACTAGGAATTGAGCATAGAGCCATATGCTTACCAGGTAAGTGTTCCACCACTGAGTTTTGTCCCCAGCCTTCTTTCTTACTTTTTATCTTGAGAAAGCGTATCACTAAGTTACAGGCACATATCAACATGCCTGGCTCTTTATGTGGATGCTGGGGATCCAAACTCATGTGCTCATGCTTGCCTGGCAAGCACTTAACCAACTGAGCCATCTCCCCTATCTCCCATATACAGTTTTCTGGGTTTTTGTTTTTGTTTTTTTAAAGCTCAAAGGCAGTTTTATTAGTGTTTAAGAGAAAAATACAGTATGAGTTAGGTGAAAATCCCAGCAGCTGCCAGGAGGGTCAGGAGTGCAGGTCAGCAGATAACTTGCAGAAGTTGCTTCTCTCATTCCACCATGTGGGTCCTAGAGATTGAACTCAGGTCATCAGAGTTGGCAGCAAGTGCCTTTACTCACTGAGCCAGTTCACTGGTCCATAGTCATTTCTTTTAAGTTAGGCATGGAATAGAAAGAGAAGCAGCTTGTTAAGAAAGGAGAAAGCATTGTTAAGAACAGAAGTGGTGGGCTGGAGAGATGGCTCAGCAGTTAAGAACACTGACTGTTCTCGCAGAAGACCCAGGTTCGAATCCCAGCACCAAATGGCAGCTAACAACTGTCTGTAACTCCAGTTCCAGGGGATCCGACAGCCTCTTCTGTCCTCCTTGGGCATTGCATGATGACACGAGTGCACTTACCTACATGCAGGCAATACATGCATACTCATAAAATAAAAGTAATAAAATGTTTTTTAAAAAGTTAAAAAAGCCAAGCATGGTAGCACACGCCTTTAATCCCAGCACTTGGGAGGCAGAGGCAGGTGGATCTCTGTGAGTTCAAGGCCAGTCTGGTCTACGTAGTGAGTTCCAGGACAGCTGGGGCTACAGGGAGACCCTGTCTCAAAAAGACCAAAAAAAAAAAAAAAAAATGGAAGTGGGAAGCTGGGTGTAGTGGTATATGCCTTTAATTCCAGCACTACAGAATCAGAAGCAAGGGGATCTCTGTGAGTTCCAGGCTACATAACAAGTTCCAGGTTAGCCAGAGCTACATAGTGAGACCCTGTCTCAAAAAAAAAAAAAAAAAAAAAAAGCCAGGTGTGATGGCACATGCCTTTAATCCCAGCACTCAGAGGCAGAGGCAGGTGGATCTCTGTGTTTCAGGCCAGCTGGGGTTACAGGAAGACCCTGTCTCAAAATAGAACTGGCCTAGTGAGCTGAGGAAAGAGTCCCCCAAAAGTCCATAGATTTTTAATTTTTATTTTATGTGTATGAGTGTTTTACCTGCATGTATGTAAGTGCATCCATGTCATGCAAGGCCAGTGGAGGCCAGAAGAGTGTGTCGGATCCCCTGAAACTAGAGTTACAGATGGTTGTTATACACCATATGGGTGCTGGACCAAACCTGAATGGCAGCCAGCGGAGCCATCTCTCTAGCCCCCCAATATATAGAGGGTTTTTTTGTTTTTTTGTTGTTGTTGTTTTGTTTTTTGTCTTTTTGAGGCAGGGTCTCCCTGTAGCCCCAGCTGTCCTGGAACTCATTATGCAGACCAGGCTGGCCTTGAATTCACAGAGATCTGCCTGCCTCTGCCTCCCGAGTGCTGGGATTAAATGTGTACGCCATCATGCCCGGCTATATAGAGTTTTAAGAAACAAAAGTAGACATATTCTATCCACACAGTGAAAAAGCTTTTTTTTTTTTTTTTTTGGTTTTTACATGTATATTCCTGTTCATGTCATGTATGTGTTTGTGTATGGTGTGTGTGGCATATGTGTGTGTGTTTGTATGTGATGTGGGGGCGTGTATGTTTGTGTGTGTTGTGTTTATGTAGGGTATGTTTGTGTGTTTTTGTGTATGGTGTACATGTGTGTGTGTGTGTGTGTGTGTGTGTGTGTATGTGTGTGTGCGCGCTTTGGGTACTTATGCTTTCATGTGAGCCTGTGAGTGAAGGCCAGATGCTAACATCTAATGTCTTCCTCTATTGCTCTTCCCATTATTTTTTTGAGATTGGCTAGACTGGTAGCCAGTGAGCCTGGGGCTCCTCCTGCCTTTGCTCCCACAGGGCCGGGGTTGCGGGCAGTGCCACCTGGCTTTTTGCAGTGGTGCTGGGGGTCTAAACTCAGGTCTTCATGGTTACATGAAGTGTCTTTGGACACTTTAAAAAAGTTAAAATGAGGAGACCCATGAGGTGCCCCCAAGTCAAGTCTGAGTTTGATCTTTGGAACTCACATGGTGGAAAAAAGAGAACAAACTCCCCTAAGTTGTCCTCTAACATCTACACGTGCACTATGGCACACCTCCCCAAATAAATAAATCCAAAAAAAAAAAAATTCAAGTTCAAATGAGTAACTGAGGATGCCACCCATATTTGCCCCAGTATTTCTCAAGAATGCCTATAATTTTTTGTTTTGTTTGTTGGGTTTTGTTTTGTTTTGCTGTTTTCTTTTTTGAGGTTGAGTCTTACTAGGTAGTGTAGGTTGGCTTCAAATTCACAATCCTCCTGCCTTGGCCCCTGGAGTGCTGGCATTCCACATTTTTTAAAAAAGAAGACCCAGCTGGTCA